TCTTTACTTAGCGGGCCTCCCAATACTCAAGTTGATGTGGCCCGAAAACGCCTTGAAATGAGAGTCTGTGGGTCAGAGTAGGCAGGTTAGGATACAAAAGCCGTTGCCAATATGAAGTACTCAGAAGGCACATCTGGGCATCTGGCTTCTTGGACCGTGAAGCCATCATTTTGGGGTATCGGTCGGGTATCGGTAGGGCTATCGGTGGGGCTCAGCTACATTTGAGAAAATTCCAGGTTCATCATACATGTAAGGAAAATTTTAAAGGCGCCACTGCAATAATGGAGCTGCATTCCCCTAATCTTTTACGGTCTCTGATGATGTTGTATGGCAACCCGCAGCTTCTGCTGTGAGGCACGTTGGTTTCTTTTGCTTGGGAATATTATTATTATGATGATTTCTTCTGATTTCGTCTCTTCCCTTTGAAAAGAAAGAGGAAACAATAAGAAGTTATAACCATCTTGGGGGCCCATATCCAAAAGGACAATCCTAAAAATAGGGCTGGCCCCTATCGGTTTTCAGGGTTTTCGCTATATTGTGATAACGTCATGACCGTTCCCTTACTACTGTCCTTTTACATAGATTTAGTCTGCTACCTGAGGTAGCTACAGGATACTCGGTGCGCAACTGCAGCTCCGAGCAGACATGTCAGGTATCTTTGCCTGTTTGCTCTCGCTTTACAACCTGAGCTTTGAATCTTCGCCGCCCCAGAAAATCAAACCCAGAGCCTGCACAGGGTGCTACAGCCGGGCAGCATCGACTTCGACAGCTCTCTTATTCCCGCTTTGGGTCGGCATAGAGGGCTGCAGCGACTAAGATGACAATTAGCGCAGGTCTTACCTAAAATGGCTGCGGTTGCAACAATGATGTCAAAGCGCTGCTGCAAATGACTGGCGAAGATCTGTGGGCACATGATATCAACATTGGCGTAGGCATTCTACTCGTGGCCAAGCCTGCTTGGAGTGAAACGTGACCCCCTTGCATAGAGACATGTTCTTCACTGGCTTTGGGATATCCCAGCAAGTTTCTCACTTTGTAGGCAGCATGCAAAAACATCGTAGATTGCGTTGCGCCATGGACATCACAGTCGGACGCGTGTATACTAAGTGCCTGCGCAAGAAGTTGCAGACCTCTGGCTGAGTGCTCGTTAGTAGGAACTGGAGGACGTCATCATACCGCCATACTGAAAACCGGAATTCTCCCCAATCCTGCATTCCCTGCTGGCTGGACATCTCTAGGTCCCTATAACATTCCAGAGCTGTTCCCGAATGCTTCCCGAGTGTCCCTCTGAAGCCCAGCCCAGGCACCAAGCATGAATTACTTTGAATCACTCATTCCCACGGTCCCTGTGGCTGGTGGGGGTACACATCGAAAGTTAAGTTCAGGTCCCGACATGATCCCCCCCCCAATGTAAAGCTACTCCTATAAAGCCCCACAAAATAGGGTAGCCAAGCCTTCAAGCCCTCAAAGCCTAAACCTCACAAATCCTACAACACTAAGCCCTAATCATCACCTCAACTTCAGCCTGACCCCGCCTTCTCTTTTCTTGTTCTCTTTCAGGAACTCCTCCCTGGCAACAGCGACAATACATTGGATTAAAGTTCGTTACACATGAATTTTGGACTTTCTTGCGGGGCAATAGCCGGTCGAAGGAGGATTTATGACATCTTGCCTGCCGAAAATCAAACCAGGAGAACTGTTGCTGGGAGTCGTTGAAGGCAAGCCAAACAACAGCTGCTCAACTCGTTGTCTCCCGGGGCCAACTTGTGCCAGACACCTAAAAAGTTTGTGCGCCTGTGAGTTCACGAATTGGTTAGACGGGAACATCGAAGGTATCTAGTTTACGAGCCTTAGCTTTGGTGCCTGGTACTGATAATCCTTAATAGCTATGTGAGGCAGTCCTGGACCAGAAATGCCAAGGGTCCCCATTTATGCACACAGACACACACAGAGCAATATTCCCCCCAAAGGGGAGACCAATTTTCGGAAAGCTTCGTTTGTCTCAGGCAGCTCGAGTGGGCCCCGGTCTGAAAGACCCAAAGCCATGTAGCTGCAAGCAGCTAAGGTTTATGGGGGCTAGGATACTTGGGTTTAGGGTTTACAGGTTTTAGGGTACAGGGGATTAGGGCCTGGGGTGCAATGAAAATTCCACTTCCCTAGGAAGACTTGCCAAGAATAAAGCTTGCTCAATCATTGTGCAGGGCAGCCAAAGGAATGCCCTGTAATGTTGGTCACAATCCTCCCCCTGTCTGCGACGAGCACCCAAAAGGGAGCTTTAATTTGGCCCAGAGGAAAATTGATTACATCTTGCATCTAGCTCATCAGGGTTCTCGCAGGCAAGAATCCCACTACCAATGTCCGTGCCCGAGACCAGCAACCACCCATTCCAGGTTTCCAGGTACTATACCCCCTAAACATAACTTGGTGTGGAGAGGAGCCATGCTGTACTTTAGAAGGTAAGGTGAAATACAGCGGGCCCATGAAGGCAGTGTATGTTAACCTCGAACAGCCATGCGGGGAAGGACTGCTTCTGTGTCATGGAAGATGCAGAGTCAAAACCTGGCCAGTGTGACGCGACTTTCTTGTATTCGACAAGGTCCTGCTTCGGATGCTATTCGCCAACGCAAGTGTGTATCGGCCCCATCTAAGAGCAGTGGTTGATCGATACACCACATCGGCAAAGTACTTGTACTTCATGCCGAAAATGCAGGCGCGGCACTGTGACAATCTGCTGCGGACAGAACCGTCATCAGCTCTACCTCGCAATATCTACAAGCCATATCTCCAAAGGGGTCCTATCGCCTATGACTGGTACGATCGAGTAGCTTCATGGTCTTTGAACCAGACGTGATGTGCCCTCCCCTCTCCATAGCCGGGCCTTTGCAGGATTACTCCTCATCTCATTCCCCAAGCCCGAAAACAAGTCGCTCCCCTGAAAGTTGACATGCTGCCATGTCAAGAGCACCTGTGCGGCAGCCCACCGCAGCAGGAGGACACACCTTGCTCTCAGCCAGGGTTTTGGAAAGTATTGCGTTTGCAATTTCAAATGAGGTTCTTCGCTCTGCGGGTCGCACCGTGGTGCCGAGAAGAGCACCAAGGTGTTGTCGGTATTCGTAGCATGGAGTGTGCACGATTCATACGTTCATCACTAACTATGTTGACAGGCGACGAGAAGAGCTCAAAAGCAAGAAACATGCGTTGACGTGTTTTAAGGTTCTCAGCTGAATCTGACCAAAGCTGAAGAAGCAAGCTTGGGCATGAAATTGTTGAGATGGGTGCGCAGCCTGTGCTGAATTTGAATACTCCTTAGATTCCTTTCGAATTTCATCTCGAGAGCACTCGCCAGCAGATTGCAGATGCCGAATGCCACGAACGAATCCGCTCAGGTGGAGAAACAAAGCTTTCAAATCGAAAGTGGTCACAGGCATCGGCAGCTGTCACCTTTCTGGACCACTTGCAGCGCAAAGAAGGCGTATACATAGGGGTATAGGGGGGCCTATTAAGGAATATATTTACTATAGAACTTTAGTCCAGGGTTCACGTACGCGTAGATAGCATGGACCATGCAGCTTGCTGCTGACGTTATGGCTGCCAGATTTGTCTTCATACGAAGCTCTGCAAGAAAGAGGTGAGAACGGAACCAACCTCGAATCCCGGAAGTGACCACATAGGAAAATTATCAAGCCCTGTAGTGGCATCACGCACAACTGTCACAAGCTACCTGGCGTCGTCCGAGAGTCAAACGATAGAAGTCTGCCAAATGACCTTCGCAGGACACGTGGCAGAAAGGCTTGATCCTTCAAAGCTTTGGTGCCGAGGCAGCTTGAAACGCGTGATGCGCTGCAAACGGGATGCTTGCTCACGGTAGTGCTGATGAAGCTTGGTTGATTGATGGGAGCCAACGGAGGCAACAAGTTTTGCGCAGGCAGTGTCTGGGAGGGGGCAGAGGCTCGTTGATGCATCACTGCACCTGACCCCTTCTCGGAATCAAAGGGAATCTAGATCATCATCTTGAGTTTTCGTGGCCCATACGGGTGTAACAGCGCTCTTGCACCTAATTTGTTGATTTTTGGTCCCGAATGCCGCGCACTTGAAATATGGAGGGGGCCTGAAAAGGATTTAAGCTCTGGTCGAAGTCCCGGACTTCATGAACTCTCTCTGCAAGGCAACGCTGCGAAGCCTCATCGCGCCCTCTTCGACGGGTGCGGGCGCGGCCACAAAGTGCAAGCTGCGGCTCAAGCCCAAAGCTCATGGCAACGCAGACAACATTTGATGCATGCTTAGTTGGTCGCAGTCCACCCATCTGTGGTAGAAATGTCTTGACGATGCCAATCTTGTGCTGTCCAGTTGTGGATCACCTTCCCCCTGATAGCGCTAACTAATGTGTTACACTTGACAACACGACTTTTCGACTAGGAATCGATTGTGGCGGCCGTCCGCACTGCAGCTGCTGCCTGGCAGGTCTTGCAACTATGCAAACTCGTTGCTAATCAAGTCTGGGTAGGCAGAGGCAGCGAAGCTTGCGCTGCTGATCAACAAATATTTGTCATGCATCGAAGTATTCAAGTGCGGGAGGACTTGCACAGCAAAAGCGGTTGCTGCATAACAAATCCGAAAGATTGCTGCTGAGTTCGTCCCTTGGCTCTTCTGCTGCATTATTAGGAGAAACTTGACTGAATCGTGCAAAAAGGCTTGTTGCTCACCTTCAGGAGGCCCCGAATACCACTTGCACATGCCGAACCACATTGAAGCCGTAATTAAGGATCACGAACATTGTAGTGGCACAGCTCTAAATCATTGCGATCAGCCCATGACGCCGGCGCCTCACTCGTAAAGCTTATCACAGCATGACAAACGGCAGCCATCCAAGTAGTAATAAAGACTTCTGAAAACTGTACGGATAATCTACGCAAATTGCCTCGTCGATGCTGTAGAAGGGGGAGTCCATAGTTGTCACACCTCCTGCAACTTAACCTTCTAAACCCTGCAACTCAAGATGGATGCCTCTGCACCTGCTGCTGCCACCGCCTGAGATGAGCCACAGTTAATATTTCCCAAATAATTGATGGACATGCCTCCTATTAGGACACATGATTAGAGACTATACTAAAATAATTTACTTCGAGCATCCCCACCCTAAAGCCGTTATTGCACAGGAAGTGTAACGTTCCCTGCCCCCCTCAACTATCTTCCTTGCAGCACTGCAAATGCGCCGCAAGAATATTGATACGCTGCTGTTGGGCATTCCAGGGATACTCTGCGGGTGGGCACTGCAGGGATACTTGGTGGTTGGGCACTGCAGGGATACTTTGCGGTTGGGCACTGCAGGGATACTTGGTGGTTGGGCACTTCAGGGATACTTGGTGGTTGGGCANNGCACTGCAGGGATACTTTGCGGGTGGGCACTGCAGGGATACTTGGTGGTTGGGCACTGCAGGGATACTTTGCGGTTGGGCACTGCAGGGATACCTGGTGGTTGGCACTGCAGGGATACTTTGCGGTTGGTCACTAAAGTCAGCTTCCGGACAACCCCACTGCGAGGGTGGGGAATTGAGGACCTCGATGGTCACTCGGCATCGCCAGCCGGCTAGTATTGACAGCCGCTCCGGTGACTGGTGGTTCAAAATTCAGGACGGTTGTGCCCTCCTTTGTGGGCGTCGGATGATGCGATGGTTATGGTCAAGGCCCATGTGGCTGTTGTGTCATTTCCTTTCCTGAGAACCCAAGTTCGCAATAGGTCCGTCCTGTTACTGTTTTTGCATTTACGAGTACTTTGCATCTTGTCGGCTAGGCCGTTGTATATACTGCTGATTAGACCTCGAGCCTGATCATCGTAGGCCGAACAGAGCCCTGGCATAGTACACACCCGTCTAAGCCTGCTAAAGCCTTGGCACCCTTAGGATGCACATTTGCCGAGCTTGCTTGCCCAGTGGCCCAGGTGGCTGCATCAGGGGGCAGAAGCAACCTCACAAGATCAGGACGCCAGGTTCGGGGATCTGCTGCGGCTCAATGGTAAAACAGCAAGGGAGCTGTAATAGGCAACAAAAGCATAATAGCAGCAACAGCTGCAATTGTAAAAATACACCGTGGGTCGCACCAGTAGGCATCATGTCAAATTTCTTGCCACTGTAAACGCTGCTGTTGCTGCTACTACTCCTCCTACAACAACAACAACAACTACTACTACTACTACTACTACTAGGTAACGGTCGCGTTTGTGACGGTGTCATTTTCTCCACTTCGCCCTACTTAAACTGAGGTTTCGCGCGAATTTTGACTAAAGTCCGCTTGCATCCCGATTTGCGGGTCCAGGTCAGCTCTGAGTTGTTCGCGCGTTTTATAGTGCGTTCGGGCCCATTTTGGAGCCTTTTGCAGAAAAGCGCGTTTTTTCAAGTAGGCTTCCCGGGACCTTTTTTTCTCATTGTTTATCGCCCCATTCGTCCAGGGTATGCCTCATCAGTCCGAGGGTGTGAGGAGTTCTGATTTAATTTTATCATCGCCCCATAGTCCAGGGTACGCCCCATTAGTCCAAGGGTGTGAGGAGTTCTGATTTAAACTTATCATCGCCCGATTAGTCCAGGGTACACGCCATTAGTGCAAGGGTGTGAGGAGTTCTGATTTAATTGTATTCTC